ATGCGAGGCCGATACATCCCGGCGCGCTCGATATATCGCGCAAATATACATATATATCGTCCGCGCACGCGGTCGATCGGCCGAAGGCATCCGGACAAATCGCACGGATAAGACTCTCTCCCGGAAACTCTGCGGAATTTATTGAATTCTCCCGTGGACACGAGCAACTTTTAAGTACTTTTACGACACGCCGTACCGTGTTTTCGAACTCCTCCGTTTTCTAACAACCCGAGTCTGATCGACCCCAACTTTCCAACTTAATCTTTTACAGGCATTCAAATTGTAACGATTTCATTTTGCCAACAGAGACACAGTGATCTTAATAAAATACTATAAAAAGCCAGCTGAGGACGTATTTATAAAGAACGCATCCATTCAAACATTTTGTTTCTAAAACAGAGATCGCAAAATCGTTTTTTGCGACATAAATGTTGTTATTCTTTTTCTTTATTATTATTTTTATTATTCTGTAGAAATAATTGATACTTCGTGTGCATCTTTATTTTAATTTAAAATTATACTTTGACAAATGATTGAAGGAGAAATGCGAGTGAATCGGGCCAATTCCCGAGAGCTTGTCTCGGGAAGATCTCAAGTATCTTTAAATTTCTGATTCTGAATTAAATGTTAAGTGAAATTTTTTGATGGGTTATGAAGACGGGCGAAATCTTCTTATGCCACTGAACGATCTAAGGTCCGAATGTGCTGTTCAATCGGGAAATGTCAGTGACCTCATAGAGAGCGGATCCCGGGGATAAACGTTGCTGGATGTCATTTCTAGGTCGACGTATTCGAAAAGCCGAGCGAAATTGAACCGTTCTCCCCTTTCGTGCCCCTCTCGCCGCCTCTTTGTCGCGCCAACTGCTTTGCCTTTCGATGAAAAATTATTCATCAACGAGGCAGAGTGCGAGAGACAGAAGGAGGGCAAAGTGACAAGGGAGGGAGAACAAGGCAAGCTATTTGGAGATTATGTCAGTCTATCTTCAAACGCTGTCTTCAAACACTTGAACCTGATCGTGTTGCAACGACTCCGTCGAAAATCGATTATGCGACGAATTTGGCGAGCGAGTTTACAACCGAACACGATAGAATATTATATGCGCGATCGATGAGTATGATAATAGAAACCGTGTTGCAATATAAACGCCATTTGAGGTGCATCTTCAGTTTGTTGAAGAACCGTTTTTCGTTTTCCCACGAATTACTGATCCCAGTAATTTATTTATATATTTATTTAATAGAATAAGCTAATTATTTCTTTCAGATTTTAAAATATTTATTATACATATTTTTTATTTTATTCATAATTATTAATGTAGATAAATTTCTAAGAATTATTATCCCATGCAAACTATAAATTTCTATAGTAACGTTTTACGAGCGTTATTAAGTTGAAAGCATTTTCGATGTTTTCGCTTTGCAGGTGGTTCGCGCAAACAGGAGCGGAGCTAATGTTGGTACTCTCCGGACCCAGAACCAGACTTCTTGGTTCTGTGCTGGCCATCGAGGCGGTAACGTTAGAGGACAGCGGTGTGTACCGTTGCACCGCTTCTAACCCTGGTGGCGAAACGAGCGCTGATATCAGGTAATGAGTATTAACAGTTATATGAAGATTACAGAAATTATTTAAAAGTGTTAACATAATTAAAAATTATATCATTAAGAATTTATTTATTATCCGTTTTAACACATTTCGCAATTTTACTTTAATTGCCATTATTATCACGCGTAATTTCGGCACTATGCACAAACTGTGCACTATTCAATTTTTAATCAATATTTTTATTACAATCTCAGGTTAATCGTGACAGCGCCTCTTCACGTGGAAGTGACGCCCCCGTTGCTCAGCGTTCACTTGGGAGGTAATGCCGAGTTCAGATGTGAAGTTGGAACGCATCCGCAGGCCGGACCGCACTTTATCACATGGTATAAGGATGGCCGGCAACTTCCAGGGACAGGAAGACAATCGGAATTATTGAAGCTCAACGGAATCGGAAGGGAGGATCGCGGCATGTATCAGTGCATTGTGAGAAGGTCGGAAGGGGATACAGCTCAAGCATCGGCGGAACTTCAACTAGGCGGTATGTAAATACTTTCTTCAACGTGTAATCTCCCTGTAACAGCAATATCTAAGGAAATTATAAGTAAACTGAAGAAGTAATTTCCTAATGGAGAAACATAGAAGATAAAACACATATAATTAAGAAATTTCTATATAAGACTTTCAAGTTTCAGCAAGTATAAATAATTGAGTGCTTTAATTAATTTAGAACTATCGCAGAAGAGATCATGTTCGTGTTGATAAGAAGTAACGTTAAATAGATAAGAAGATAGTTCAATATTAGTCGGTGATGGAAAGCGACGTGCCCGAGTACGCTATATATATATATATTTTGTCGTTTAAATATGTTTACTATTAAAGGCTCAAAGTAACGATCGTTCGTACTTCACGGTTTCACACGGAAAGTAGTAGTAACGGTGTTCCGATCGCGAGTGTAGCATCATCCCCAGAGATCTCATATAATAACGGAGAGATCTAATATGGCGGCCCGATCTCCTTGCGCTAGGATATTGACCCGCATCTCTCTTATTTTCTCTCTCTCCTTCTCTCCTGCCCCCCCGCTCCTTCCTCTTTTTCTCTCTCTTTTTCATTCTCGTGTCATCCTCGAAAGGCGCCGTCAAAGGTGTCCCAACGAGAGAGAAGACACCGCGCACCGATCGACAGCCCGCGTTAGACTACCTATCAAATTATACAGAACTCGATTACTCGGCAAAGAGGCAGCCGTTGCCGCGTGCCGAGCTGCCGGCCGAAGGATAGGCCACCACTTTGAAGTGGAGAGGAATCTTCTTTTACAACGCTTTTACCTCGTTTTGCAGCTGTGTGCACTTCCGCCCTCGTTCTCGCCAGCATCCAGACGCGTTCCGCACAGAGCGTTCTTACCTCTTGCACGACCTTAATAATCGATCCTTCAATGATTCTGAAAGTCATCGCTTTCTGTTCGGTAAAAATTGTATAACTCTAATTACGGAAATATTCAATGTAGGAAATTAAGAAGTTTCTTTTTTTATGAATTAAACTTCGTTAGCGGGAGAATAGTTAATTAGCCGCGAGTGGATTGTACTTTAATGAAGATTTAACTCGGAATTTTCTTCCCGGAATATTCGGCCGGACCGACGAATATTTGTAAGATATTCGCGTGTTATCAACAATTCGTTCAAGGACTCGTCGTTAATCGCGAATAGAATGCGTGTAGTTAACGCGTATTGAGGCCGGACACACCCTGTATCTAGACCAGCGTTCGGGGGGTGGGGGGAGGAGGGTGTTGGTGGCAGGGCAAGGTAACCAGCAGGGAGGAGAGGCCTTTGAAACAACAATGAAGTTAGTGTCTCTCGCTCGTCAGCGTCAGTAATGCACGGAATTTACGTCAAAGAGAATTCGAGCGAGCGAACGTCGACGGCAGGGACATCCCGGCTTGCGCGAGCAAGCGAGACAAAGCTATCGCCGATGCAATTTTGCCGCGCGCGAGGACGACGAGGATGAGAAAAGCGCTGCGGCCCGGTCGGAACCGGAGCGGCTGTGAAAAAAAAAGGAGAGTCATTTCCGAGACCGGAGAGAGCGCTCGGCAAATTGTGCGAGATGCATTTCGCGAAATTCAAGCACCTCTCGCTCGTAAAATCTGCTCGGCGTAGCCGCGCACGATTGGCCGGTCGACTACCGGTGTTCTCGCGATTAGCGGGTGCTTTATCGATTCGATCACTTTGCTATTGATGGCTCCTGTTTCCCAGGAGGAAGTGATTTGCGCGAAACGTCGTTGCCGTTATAAAATCGATGTCGGTGGTCGGTTATTAATGATTTAATAGCCGGAACTATGTGAGTTGGACTATGTGAGAAATTAATTTTTACTAAGGCTTTCTCTCTCTCCCCCTCCGTCTCTCTCTCCCTCTCTCTC